TAGTTTAACAAAGGAGGATAAGAGAAATAAAATAAAATATAATTTTAATTCAAAGCAAAACATAAATGGCAATTCTGAGTTGAATATACATTTGTTTCTTCATTCAATCAATGTATTTAGATCTCTCACACATAAAGCTCCTAATATGTCCTACTTTCAAAGACCTTGGGTCAAAAGTATGAGTAAGACAGTCTCTGTACTCAAGAGATTCAGGTTTTAACTGGAGAGGGATAAGAAAAAATTACAATTAAAATGTAATATGATACTTTTTTGTTGGAAACGTACCTAAGTTGTTCTGGCCATTGCTATGCAAAAGAGGGAACTGCTGTTCTCAAATGTTGAAACAGTGGTCAAGACACAGGTGGAAGGTAGTGGAATGGGGGAAAATATTCCATATAAAGAAAATGACATTTATAGAAGACATGACAACAGGAATAATTCAAGAAAATTATGACTAAAATAAAATCTACCTTCAGAAAATGCAGAAATGAATTATATTTCTGGAAAATACAATAAAATTTTTTTCTCTTTTTCTCTCAAACTTCTAAATAGAGAATACCAGAAGCTTTCAAGAAAAATATCTACCAACAGAGAAACAATAAATATGACAGAGCTCTGAAAGAAGACCATGACACAATGTCTTAATTTAGTCAATTTTTTATTTATAAATGCAAAAAAAATTTCAAATTTGCAAACAGAAGCATATTATATAGTTATTCTTAACAAATAAATTATAAAAAAACAATGATGAATGAAAAGCAATCACTCAACAAAGAAGAAATTGTAGCTAGAAATCCTAGTAACATCAAAAGCAGTTAAAGCATATAAATGGAAGGATTTTTTAAGAATTATTTTAAAGATTATATCAAAAATTCCAATTTTTTTTCTTGGAGCGAGATGATCTACAATATACAAAGCAAAAAAAAAAAAAGAGGCAGTGCTCACAGCCCCAAATTAAATTAACAAAAACTATGAGTCATTATGTGTAGTAGAACAATGGATAAAAACAATGCATTTTCATTTTTATAATTCAATATTGATTTAAGAGTGTGATTGTAAAAGTTTGAGAAAAGTTAATGGTAACCATTTTAGACTTAAAACTCAGTTACCTCCCAAATTACCACAAGAAAACTGTCTACCAAAAACTCAGGCATAGAAAAGAAATAGTGAAAACCAGATAGTTTGAAAGGAAGAAGGCTAAAAATAGGATCTGGGGGAAAAAAGAAAAGACATTTAAAAAATTCATTGATGAACTGCTTATAAAGAAACTCACAAAGTGAGAAATATGTTGAAAGTGGAGGTATAAGTACAGATAATGATTTATCAGCAAATGTAAATGCTCAAATAATGGAAGCAAGGTAAGCATGATTAATATTAGATGCTAGAAGATTATGTGAAAAGAATTAACTAAAATAAAGTTATTTTTATGTAATAAAACATACTATCTAGAAATCAAGATGATAATCCTGAACTATCATGTATCATTCAATTATGAAAGCCCAACTATTAAAAGGAAAAAAATGAATTGTTAGAATAACAGTTATATTATGAGAACTACCATGAACTTTCACGAGGAAGATAAGTACAACAACAATTTCAAAAGCTATATGGTAATATGTACTAATAATCTTAACTCATATTATTTAGGTTCAGTAATTCTAATTCTGAGAATCTGTTTTTAAAATAATAAAATACATGGGCAAATATTTATAAATAACTATGTATTAAAGCTTTACTTATAACAATGATAGTTAAATCATGATATGTTCAATGATGTTCATTTCACATAATCATTAAGGTTATCAATTGATTATTTAATGCCAAGTAAAATACTCATAATATTGTACAAATAGGATACATTTAATCAATATAATAATTATACTTATAAACACATTACATAGACTTCTTTTCTATTTAATCCCACAATAGCTTTATAAGGTGTATAATGTTATTTCCCCATTTATAGATGAGAAAATTGAGGCACAGAGAAGTCACCTGATGATAAGTGGTAGAAATATAATGGGTTGAGGCAATCTTTACCTCTTCTAGAGTCTGAGTCATTAACTAGAAGGCTATAATGTAAGTTATACGAGGAACATACATATAGATAAGCATTAGCCATGATCGACAGGTATGTGCATAGGTTAGAAATTTAAATAAATGTTCTCTTTATTTCTTTTGCATATTTTATTATTTGATGATAAACATACTTTTTTATGAAGAAAAGAAAATTTATTTTAAGAACCGTTTGGAACATAAAATAAGATGAATAATGCCATACTTTTTTTTATAGTTCTATATGGTTTTTGAAGCACTTTTATATTACTTATTAAATATGTTCTTATAATTAGGGTTCATTATAATATATTATCAAAACCATGACTTTTTAAATTATTCGAGTGTGCTATTACTATTTACACTGAGAAGATAATTGTCAACTTGAAATATCCAAGTAAACCAGATATAGACTCATTCTATTAAAACAACTCTGTGAGGTCACAAGTGCCTAGATATCTTTATTCCATTTTAGAAATGAAAAAAATAATAATAATTTAAAGATGATTAAATCATATGATGAAAAAAATCATGGTTCTGAAAATAGATTAAAAGAAAAAAATTGTTTGGCATAGTCCTTGGTTCTTATGATTAAAACAAAACAAAGCAAAAAAAAATTCCATAGTGACAATTTTCTCAATCAATTGAAGTTTTCAATTATTTAGTTCCAGGAGATTTAAAATCTAGGAATTATACAAAATTTTATTTCATTTAAAATGTTATGCTACTGAAATTTTTGACACTTCATAATTTTCTGCTCAGAAACCTGAGATTTACAAAAGGGAATATCTAATATTTTGATTATAGGAAATTCTGGATTTATGTGCTATGAGCCAGAACCCATCCAAATAGTACTAGTTAAAGCAACTAACATAGAATGAAACTAAATAAGTATGTTTAGATGAGTGAACATTTAGCTAAATTATTTTTATACAAATAATCTTGGAAGACAACAGTAAGTGAAATGGGCAATATTTTGTATTAGTGACTCAGTTAGAAAGTTGAAAAAACTTACTGACTAAGCTTAAGAATGTCATTAGGCAGATGACAATGGACAAATGATGCCAGGGCTTTGCTGAGAGAATTACATATCTGAAAAATCTAGCTATTTAAGTAATGGTAGGGGAAAAGAAATCTAAGGAAATAAATGCATACTAGGTATTAATTATAGACCAGGGAGAGAAAAGTGGCAATCACTGCAAAATATGATCTGTAGATGTCTTGTTTAGCCAACAGAGCATTTTTAAGGATTTTGAATTTGCAACACTTTAAGTAAGTCAGCAAGCATTCCAGATTTGACATCCCCTTTGTTGTTCCCACTCAGATCCCCAGCAGGGCCTCTCCTAGTCTGGTGACGCCTTGCTGGTAACTTGAAAAAGCACCTGCTCTGGGAACATGCAACCCCAAGGCACATAGCTCTGTGCAGGATCAGGACTGTGGCTCCCTACTTCATATTCCGCATTGAGACTGTGAGATTTAAAAACTGCACACACTTGCCTGGAAATTCTCACTGTTGCCTTATGCCCTTCCATTTCACATATTGTTACCCATCTGCCCTGTGAATGCCTTTCCTTACTGACCTTGAATGTCTTTAGGACATCATGGTAGTTATAGTCTAAAGTAGAGAAATTTAATTGGCCCATAGTTGATTTATTTTGGAAAGAATACCAAATCAATATATTTTTTCTCTCACTGTATTATTTGACTTTTTCTCTTGTTGACACAAACATCAGTAATATGTTGTTTTTAATAAGAAGAAAATTAACTGAGCGTGAGAAAATGGCAAGAGGTTTAATTTCAGACATCACTAAAACATTTATATTGAGTCTCTAGTATAATTAAATACATTCTTAAGAAAAATATACTAGAGTTTGCACTTATATACAGGTATTAGAATGACATATCTATTCTCGTGAATAGCCATATATAAAGATTTATTTTGAAGATAAATTGATAATTTATAATTTTCCTTTCCTTTGATGAGAACAACTTGGATAATTGAGTAGGGGTGATATGGAAGACAAATGTCACTATCAATGACTCCCAGGTTTAAGAAGGTGGGGAAAAGAACTACTGACTCTGCATCTCCTTTTGCCTCTGTTCCCCTTTAGTGATGACCATTGTTATATAATAGTGCAATGGCAAAATGCACGTAAAGCATCTGATCTATGCTTTTAGTAGCATACCATGTTTATATGTGTCTCCCAGATGTGTGTCTGTGTCATTCCATAGGCTGTGTTCAGTGAGTATAAAATGTCTGAACACTGAAAGTATATGGCCTAATCTATCAGAGAGTATTAGATAAATTAAAATACATATTAGATAGAACACAGGTGTAACTATTGGAATGAGTTAAAAGGTGAGATTGTGCTACAATTTTTTTTTTCTGAGTATTTTAAAAGCTGCAAATGTGTATTTTTAAAAGCTCTAAAGGTAATTCCAGGTATGATTTTGCCCTAGTGGGGGTTATGCAGAATACCAATCAATGCCTCTCTTAAGTCTGCCTTTACCTATTAATTTATCCTGGATCCCCAGGTTTTGCTGTCTTTTAGCTTTGTCCATGTAATATGACATGTTATCTTTATAATGAGAAGATGAGACAGATCTATTATAGTAAAAGATATGCACTATTAATGAGTTTCTAACCAGCTATCAAGGTATCATCAACTGTGGTTTATCTTGGTGAATGAAAGTTTGAATGGAAAATTAAACTCCCACACTGACTGTCGAAGTGCAGTGGATCATTTTGTTCTTTAATGTCACACTTCACTGGACATACTTCACAGAATGGTGGATCATGCTTAAAACAAGCAGCCTTTACTTTAATGACAGTGGATAATGCAGCAGAGATGAATAATAAGCGTTAGCAGTCTTAACTTTCTCTGGTGGTACTCTGTCTCAGGTGCTTGCTGGACAATTTACAAAGTACGTATGCTATTTTATAGATTGGAACTTGGGATCCAGCCAGTGGCCTGAATATGACAGAAAGTCAAAAAGGGAAGCCAGCCAACATCACAGATTCCTTATCTAATCGTTCTTTGATCGTCACCACCATTTTGGTAAGTATATGTTTTTCTATTCTTTTTAGATAATATCTAGATAACCATGGAAATGGATAGAAAAGGAGATTATAATCGGAACAATAATGAACAGAATGTAATATATTTTACAGTTATTTAGCAATTACTGCATAACAGATGAGTCAATGTTAATTTAGTCACAGTTTTATTTTGTTAGTCTTCAATGAGGCAAATTATATTGTTTGGACTGCTTACATTGATTAATAATATAGCTTTATATATTACTGGAAATCTTTACATTTCTACAAAATTAGTTACTATTGAAGAATTGTCAGTGTTAAGATTTGAAAAATACATAGATATGCAACTGTATAAATATAATTATGTGAGGACCTGCATGTGAACTTTGCTTCTGATTTCATTTCCTGCAAATATATATCAGAGAGTGTGCTATGTAATTTTCAGGATTTTTTCTATAATAATTATATTTAATCTTGCTTTCAATTTAATTGTTTTTAACATGAAGAATTACTTTTACTTTGCTAACCTCCATAATGAAATCAAATGATGAGTGTTTTTTTAAGCCAGAAATACTTTCACCACTAACAGAATGAAATTAATATTAAATATTTTTGTCCCTCTCACAATTATATATTTTTCTTAGATCACACAGTAATGTTCACGTATGCCTACTACACCATTTGCAAATGAGAATTTTAATTTTAGCATAAGCTAGGGGCTCTTATGTTATTTAGTCAGTGATTTTACCTACAGAATAAGCTTATCGATGCTAGTTCTTGTACCTTCCCAGGTAGCAAATAAGAATGTGAGATTAATGTCCTGAACAAACCACCACATACTTCTAGCATTTATATAATTTTTAAATTTGATTTATGATGGGAAATCAAGCCAGGAGGAATTTATAATCTTGTCTTTTTAGTAACAACAAAGATGTCAGATCTCTAGGCATGTCAAAATAAAATAGTTTGGGTTAAAGACTCTTGATAATGAAGGAAAGCTGCTAATCACTAAATGACAGTGATGGAATCTCATATGTTTTTAAAATCACTTTCCTGCTAGGAATCTCAGTGAATACTTCCTTCCTATCATATCTAAACTTCCTAAATTCTCTTTAAGTTAACTTTATATCTTCCTCTCTTTTCAAAAATAATTCTCATACCTATCAATCCACCAGCTCTATTCTTTAGTTGAAATGTTCTTTCAGGATGCTAGCACATCCTTTTTCTTCCGGTATGTTCTGGATCTCATTACTTCCTTCTAGGACTATTACAGTAACCACGTAATTGTCCCTCCTCCAGATGGCCTTTCTCCTTTGCAATGCACCCTGTTCTTCAGCTTAAAGATCTTATATTGTAATGTCTCTACTTCCATGCTTACAAGTCTTTAGTGTATCCATATTAACCATTAAAAATTCCCCAACATTGACCCTGATGTTCAAAGCCTTCTATATTCTTGTCTTCCTTCACCTTTCCATTCTCATTGTCCATTACTCCTATTCAGGATACCTGTGTTTTAATTGAACTGGTATAACCAGTCACCTGACTATCGTGATTGTGTTAGCTCTGTTCCCTTTGTCTGCAATATGTTTTTCTCTATTTCTGAGATATTATAGTACTTATCAGCACTTTATATTTAATATTAATATTATGCTATTCTTTAATTATTTCACATCCTCAATTTTTTTTTCCAGACGACTGAACATTCTATGTAAGAATAGGGTATGACTATATCTTTTATTTTTATACCACATGTGCCTCTACAGTACTCATAAAGAATACTGTGCAGGAGACATCTGTGGTCTTCAGCAATCCACTCCATACTCTTCTATATTCTCCTTGATCCAGTCAAACTTTTAAATCTATCACTTATTTTACGGCTCCAGATATTTGCTCAGTTCTTTCTGTTCCCCTGTGAAAATCCTATATATTCTTCCAAACACATCTCTAATGACACCCACTCCATGAAACTGTCTGATCTCTCCATTAAGTTGTCTGCGTGTGGCAGGGGTTGGAGGGTACATGATACATACATTTTATGTGTCACAATACTTTATCATGATACTTACCAAGCATTTTTCTTTATTTTAGAAAATATCTGTGACATGAATTTGTGCAAGGCCAATGATCAAATTTTCCATTTTTTTGATCTCTCAGTTTCAGAAAAAAGTGCTTTAGGCACAGAAAGCACTCAATAAATATTTACCAAATTTAATCAAATAAATGGTATTTAATTAAATGGAAAATTAGAGGAGCTAAGCAACTTCCAAAAGACTACTTTCAAATATTTTTCAAGTTATTGCAAACTTCTTATAGATGATTAAGAGTAAACATATAATTTCTGAATTTTGTTTAATTACTTAGGGTTGTTTTGTAAGACAGAAAAATTCAGACATTTTTTCTCAACAGTAAATAATTTTGCATCAGTAAACAAGTGGTATTTAATATTACCTTCATATCAGAGCTACGTATAAAGCTTTTTAAAAAATTACTGCTACCCAAAGCATGCTCCATACCTTTAAAATATTATTTCTGGGCTTCAGATCTTGGACATATTTATTTTTTTCTTAGTTTCACAAGTAATTCTGATCTATAATGATGGTTGAGAACTACTGCTCAGATCATTATATAACTAAGATGTAGGATCAACTGTGGAACATACGCTAAGCTTATATTTTTAATAAATAGGTTATTTATATTTTAAGGTATATCACTCTACTGGTTTCTAAGAGATCCTGATGTTTATTAAAATGAAAATTACTTTATTTGTTTTTATGTCACTTAGTTGAAATAAATTATTTTTCTGAATACTCTGTTCACAAAGTATCCACAATTAACAAAAGAACAGACTTGAAGAGATTATTTACCTTATTTATGTAAGCCTTATGCTTGGTGTAATTTATTGATATTTAATTGATATTATAAGGAGTTAATGATCATTTGATTTATGTTATGATTATATTGTCTTTTTCTCTCTTGGAAAATCTCAGAGAAAATTCTGGCTGTGTTATGAATAATAACATCTGCACAAAGAGAAGTTCACTTATGCTTCTTATTCAACACTTTTTTTACATGACTTTTAAAAAAGCAGTAAGATATTCTAGAATACAACAGTATCAGTGTATTAATCATAATCAGTTTCATTTCACATGAATATATTCATTTATTTATTTTATTTATTCATTATTTTATTTAATAAATATATATTCAGTGATGACAATATAACAAGCATTGTGCTAAAAGCTATATTTGATTAAAAAATAGACATGGTCTTTTTCCTCATGGAGCTTAGAAAATGGTAAGGATTATAGGGAGAATTACACACACATACACCCCTGTGATTAGAATATAAGAGAAAGAAAATTGGAATGATGCCTTTTACAGGATGGTCCTGAGTTATACTGGGATCAAGAATGAAGGAACAAGTCAGGTTAGGCCTTACTGCAGAAGAATAGACAGCTGACACTTGAGGTTTGAGAAGGAATTAGCAAGGTAAAGAAAGGGAAAAGTAGTATTCTTGGCAGAGAGAAGAGCATGTGAAAGAGCTCTCAAGCAAGAAATATCTTGGAAAATTTTCAAAATTGAAAGAAGACCATGATTGGGGCTGGTGCTTTGGTCTGCTTCTCAGCTTCATCAAATTTGATTATATGAATATGGTCCATTACTAAAGAATAAGAGAAGACTTTTTTTTTGTATGCCTACTATCTGCTAGGCATTGTTCAAAGCATGAATTTACTTATTTAATTGTCATAATAACCTTTCGAGCTAGATACCATTATTAATATTACTTTACAGATAAGAAAGCTGATATCCAGATTGCTTAACTAAGTTACTCATGGTCACATTTCTATAAAGTAGAGTAGTGGGTTTTCAACCAATTTGTATAGCTAACTTGAGCAAACAGTACTTGTAAGATGAAAGCTCTAGCGGCCCACCGTGGAAAAGTCTAACGACTATAGTTTAGGAACAAAATAGTATCTTGATTAAGAATTGCTCACCTAAAGCAATGCTTCTCATCCATAAATTCTACACATGCTTGAGCACTATGATGCTCTTATGGGTATGTTCCCAAATATCTAGATGTACTCATCTTCAGAGGACAGGATTTAGGCTACTCTTGCTTGAATATCTTGGGCCTCTCATTTCTCTTCTCTCCTAATTTAGTACTCAGTTTTCTTTTAGCCTCTTTAAACCATAATCTCAGATTTTCCTGGGCAATCAAAAGAGTATTGGGGTTTATTTCATTTTTTTCTCTTAAGAATTGAAATTAAGCATCTTATTTACAAATATTTTTACTCCTTTTCAACAACAACCTACACATGATACACAGTATGTGTACAGAATGTAGTTATATTATAGAATGAAATCATTTTAGGAATCTCTAAACAATTTTTTAAATGCTTAACTTGTTTTTGTTTTGAATTAAGATCCATGATCTCATACAATTTAGAAATTTTTGTAACTTCACCTGCAAGTCTATTTATGCCTTCTTCTTAATATTCCTCATATTACAACTCTGGTCTTCAAATTTTATGTTTATTTGTTATTAAAATCCTTTGCTTCTTGTGGTTATCATTATTAATGGAACTAAAAATATAAACCTTAGAATCATGTTTTTATTAATGATGATTTCACTTATTTCATAGAGATTGTCAAAACATATATTCCTAATTGCCAAAAATAATAACAAAAATACTAATTCTGAAAGAAATATTGAGGACTTTTGAGGAATGATGTGTGCTACATTTTCAGTTTATAACCTCATCCTGTTGTCCATACTGCTGTTGATCCACTAACTAGAGGCAATATTAGGTGACTGTATATGTAAGAAGTTCATATAGGAAATGCCTATTTTTTTCTCTTTTTTTTGGTTTTCAATAGATTTTTCTTAGGCCTGTCTAAATATATTGAGTGCTCCCCACTGTACTGTTCCTGTATCATAACTGATTTTTGTCCATCAAAAGATTACTAGCACTTAAAAGCCACCATATATATTCTTTCTGTTGATGACTAGAAGCACTT